AGTTGTCCCAGAACTGATTAGCCCGACCAACCAAGAACTTAGTCAAGAAGCCTTTTGTCCCACTACGAGTTTCCCAATTAGAAATTACCTCAGCCTTTGTCAGATGGAGGGATGAAGCAATCTCTTCCGGCCTAAGGACTTTCTCCTAACCTGTAAACGGGGTCTGCTCTATAATGGAGATACCAAGTAGATCAGAGAACTCTTCCAAGGTAGGGACCAACTGGTAGTCCGAGAAAGTAAAGCAGTGGTACAGTGGATCAAAAAACTGGACTAAGACACTCACCATTTGTTCATCCATCTTGGAGGTGACCAAACCCAGGAGGTGACCATGTCTTCTGATAAAGGAGGAAGTATCTGGAATCTTTGCAACCAATTCCTTAAGCTGAGTGGGAATCTGGACAAAGTTGATCCGAATAGTGTTTCTATGCATAGGTGTCATGACCTACAAAACAGAACAAAGATGAATCCCCTCTATCTTTGAAATAGGTTAGTCCAATGCAATATTCATGCAATGTCATGATGCATGATATCATGATAGAAACACATCACAAGTATTCACAGATAGCAAACATGGTAAGGGCAAACAAGTCACACAGATAACCCTTAGATTTCAGGCTGACAAGGAGTTTAGGTATTACCCTCTTTCAGTTTAATCGATTCAAACATGTCCTAGTAATAGTAACCGGGTTCTAGAGGATCTCAATATCGCTGACCACCCTCGATCAGTCATAATTCCAGTTTATAAACCTTTTCTTGCGGCCGGAATCATCGCGAGAGTTTGGTCTCAATGAGTGTAGCATACTTCTACTATTTTATGGCCAAGTTGGTCAATTATAGGTTCTAAGGTAAGTTGATGCTTAATGACCCCTTAGAAGACCCATATTCTCCTCGTTGCGCCACAAGGGATATCGGTACAAACTAAAGTGTCATACCAACGTAGCTACTGCTTCAACCGTATCGATCTACGCCGTACAGTTCCCTCACAGTTTATTGCTACTTACCTAAAGGGTATCCCCCAAATCCGAGTTAGGATCTATAGTAACTCTGATTCAAACCCTCACATTATACATGGCACACCCACCCCCCCTCCCAAATGGTATGAAAAGACCAAATTGCCCAGACCCAAATTTTTCACCCCAGATTTCAAATTCACATAGACAACCGGATTTTTCAAATTTTGGGGCGATACTGAAAACTTAGTGGCGATACCGGAAACTTTTCGAAATAGTGAGTAATTTACGGTATTTTTGTGAAACTTTTGGTACTTTGTACCAGAAATTTCAAAATATCTGGTATTTTCATTTACCATTTATACCAGAAATTTTGAAATTTCTGGTGCGTCACAGAATGCCGGAAATTTTGAAATTTCTGATAGTTCAATTTATTTATTTTTAATACCGGAAATTTTGAAATTTTTGGTAGTTTATATTTTCATGATATTTTCTTATTTTGCAGTGAGGACCAGAGGCAGAAATGGTTCTATTGCGGGACGGACCACTGATAGAGATGATGCTGAAGCTCGTGCTAACGAGGCGCGAGCTTCAAAGTTACGGGTTGGACGTTGTCCCCCGACCGGTTCACACCGGAAACGGATGGTTGAGCAGAATGTGCAGTTTCGCGCACCCTATCATCGGGGTCATAGAGTATCCACTATGGAGGTATAGGCTCCTAATGAGGAGGTGCAGGCTTCTACTCCAGAGGTACAAGCTCCTACTGAGGAGGTGCAGGCTCCCGCTCCCATTATGGAGTCGGTAGTTGAGGAGCACATTGTGGAGCATGTGGTGTAAGAGCCTGAGCAGGAGGTTGTTGCTGAGCAAGTTGATGAGGTGTCCCGCTGATACAGACACCACGACTCGTGCATCTACAGATCCAGGTTTCCCTGGAGGACCTTCATACAGGCCCGTGCTGACAGGATTTGTGGACCATGTCGCTTATAGGATATGACAAGGAGAGGTATATATTTTTGGTTTTATTTAATTGCATAATTTTTATTTTTGCTTACGAGATTTGATGTATAATAATTTGTTTTTGCTTCTTACAAGAGCGTCTGGTGTTGAAGGTTGTTTCTCATGGTTCAAAGTTGAAGAAATTTCCTAAAAGTCCCATGCTTGAGGAGGTGAAGAGGATCGTTAGCGAGTTCTATCTTCTGGAGTTTGCTGGTTGCTCCTTGACCATGTTGAACGGCTCCCTTTTATCAGCTTTTGTTGAGAGGTGGCACCTGGAGACATCATGCTCCCATCTTCAACTTAGGGAGATGACGGTGATTTTAGATGATGTGGACGCCCTCTTTCACATTCCAATTGCTTGTACATTTTTTACACCAATTTATAAGGACCAGGCAACGGCCGTGCGCATGGTTATGGAGGATTTGGAGTGTTCTGAGGGGGAGGTGCTGAAGGAGTTTGGTGAGACTCGGGGATTTCACCTTCAGGTGTTTTGGCTGAGGATTTTATATAAAGAGCTTGTGGAGGCACAGAGGTATGAGGCTACCGCTAGGGCATACATGCTACATCTGGTGGCATATACTCTTTACGGACAAGTCTAGAGTTTATATTAATGTTCGGTACTTGTCTCTCTTCAACGCACTTGACACTCCATGTTGGGATTAGGGAGTTGTGGCCTTGACCATGTTGTACAGGGAACTTGACATTACTTCTCGTCTTGAGACCAGGCAGCTTGCTGGTTACCTCAGCTTGTTACAGGTATACTATAATTTATTTGATGGTTTTTATTAATTATTTGTGTGTATTTATTTGTTGGTTTTTATTTATGCAGTGTTGGATATACGAGCACTTCCCTCACATCTGTGAGTGGAAGATCCAGCGTGTCACGGCACCTAAGCCATGTGCGAGGAGATAGAAGGTCAAGCAAGCCATTCTAGGAGGTTTGATGGAGTACCGGAGGAGGCTTGACGCTCTGACCTTGGATGATGTTGTCTGGATACCCTATACATCTCATCGCCCTCATCGTCCATTTGAGGTATCTACTTTATATTTATGGCATATTATATGGGAGAGCCATGTGGCTAGACACTTGCCTGAGAGGTGTCTACGCCAGTATGGTTATGTATAGGGCATCCCTCGTCCAGTTCCAGAGTCTCCAGGTGGTGGGATTGATAGATGTTTTTAGAGTCACGTCCTCACCTCTTCCCGTGAGATCATGTATACAGTCGTCGAGGTTCAGCAGCCTGGGCAGTGTGAGGATGGATATCTGGAGTGGTTTTACAGTGTGTCACACCCTCGGGTCATACCACCGGATGCATTATCTGATGTCTCAGGGTCTTCTGGTGCTAGCCCATCTACCGAGCTACCACCATCACCTCCACCACCTGTAGGAGATCAGGACAGTCACCTCCAGTTTATTGCAGTTCATGCTGATAGTCTCATGGATTTGGTAAACCCAAATGGTGAGATTTATAGAGGTTTAGCTAGGTTAGTCGACGTAGCCCGTGGAAGGTCTATGTAGATCTATTTTATTTTGGTTGTATATTTTGTGACAAACAAACATCTTATTTATTGCATAATATTTTGGTGAAAACCTAGAACAATACAACAAACATAAAACAGTACAACAAACATAAACTAAAAACAATAAAAACCTAGGCACTACTAGATGATTCTGGATGTTTCAGACACTTCATTATATCGTCGACGGATCTTCGGATCAGCGCATTCAACTCGATCGTACCTTTAGTTATCCTACGGAGAAATAATTTCCACGTGGCCTTCACATCTTCATCATTCTTCAACTCGATTAGATTGTATTTCACTCTTCCATTTGTATCAATCCAATCCTCTTAAAACTCTACCTTTGTCACCCTTCTGTTATCGGAATCGGACAACAAACTATTCAACGTTTCTTCCAAGGTGGCAAAGGATTTGGAGCCATCTGGAAGCTTGAATTCAACAAGAGGGTTGTTGTCGTTGTAATACACCTCTGCCTTAATCTGAAATTGAGGAAGAGACTTTTTTTAGATGTATTTTCTCTATAACAAATGACCTTATTCATACAAATGGTGATGCATTCTAGACTACATAAATGTGTCGGTGCAATCAGAATATTCAAATATGTTGGCAAAATTTCAGCCGTTCAAAAAACCATGTTTTTAATACTACCGGAAATTTCAAATTAATTGAAATTTCTGGTACACCGGAAATTGCAAATTACACTACCGGAAATTTAGGTTATCAGAAATTTCGTAGAGGTGTACCGGAAATTTAGATGGTATCAAAAATTTCAATCCTTCTATCAAAAATTTCATCCGAAAATTGTGTTCAACTCATCCAAGAATAAAAGTGGAATACAAAAATTAGGGGAGTGTCATGTATAATTTTGGAAGTAGCATGTTAAATTCTCTAAATCTACACATAGTGATGGATTTTGTCTTTCACTACATTCCAATTTTATTGTAGTGAATTAAATATTCATATTTTTATTTCATGTAACTTATTTCAGAAAGTCATTTATGAATCTTTAAAACAAATATTTCCTTTGTTTCAAAATAATTCTCTTTCTAGTCTTAAAAAGATTTCAAAATAATAGTCTTTCTTTTTCTAATGTAATATTGATTAAATTTTATCAACTTTACCTCTTATCTATATGCTTTCAAATTATGACAATATATATCAACCAATAGCAATTAAGGATAATTTTGTAAAAATGTTATGTTTGTTGAATCAATCATTACTTTTCTTAATCTGTGTGTAATAACCTTAAACGACTATTATTTTGAGACAGAAGAAATATCTTGTAAAATCTTGTAAAGAGTTTTTTTTTTCAAGTTTATCTCCCAAATTAAAACTTTGACAATTTCTTTTAACAAATTGTTGGAATATTAATGATTGTCATTGTTCAGATACTGCACTTCCATACATCAATTATTACAAAACATATTCCACTGCCATACCCAAACAACAACAAAATGATGAAATAACGTAAGCATAATACTAGTATAATCAACTAATACCACATCAAAACATATTCCCCAATGAAACGATTTTTCACTTGCGTCGAACAGTGATAGGACTCCTTACAATAATATGTTTCCCATTTGTCCATTTCAATTCACCAAATTGATATTTCTTCCTTGGAGACACATTTGTTGCCTGCACTGTTGGGAAACATATGTGTTGAATGTGTCCTGAACCATAGGCAAATGGATTTGCCAATGTTTTATCAAATGCGTCACGGATTGGCTTGTTAGTGTTATCTCTTGTGCTTGCTGCAAGCACGCGAATTTGTGTAAGAAAGAAGTAATCATCTTAAGAATTAGACATATAGGAGATGAAAATACCGGTGGTCATGATAGCTGATTTAATAGCTGCTGGAGACCAATTAGGATGAAGTGTTTTGATTAATCCAGCAGTGCCAGCAACATGAGGACAAGACATAGATGTTCCTTGCATCATATTGAATGGAAAACCTCGACGAGTGTCTGTTATTAAATTAGAAGCACTTGCAAACAATGAATAGGCAGCAAGTATGTTCACACCCGGTGCAGTTACATCAGGCTGTAACAATAAAACAAAGGCAAAATTATCATTGAAAAATCAACAAGGAGTATCCAATAGTTACTAGTAGAAAACAAATTGAAATGCATGACACCTTGAGTATGAAGCCATAACTGGAGCTGGCTTTGTTCCATATTTTGTTTTTGTTTTTGACAATCTTATTTTAGTACCTGACTATATATCCCTGCAAAAGTTTGACACATTCACACAGTCAGCACATCTGTGACCACTCAAACAAGATCGAACGGCTCATTTGTAACATGTAATTTTATGATGTTACATTTTTAAAACCTTATTTTAAGTACGGTATATATAATTTGACAATATTGATAGGATTAGTAATTACGACGGAATTAGGTCTTCACTATGTTGCCTTGTTATTTGATGTTTGGAATAATAGCTGACAGTAGACAAAATATGAGGCTCAGAAAGAAGTGTTCTTCCATTAACTAGCGGTTGATTTCTCAAAATGACTCCCTTAGCACCTGCAGATAAAGCTTCTTGACCCTCAGCAACTGAATTTATTTTCCCTTCTCTAACACATGCCACTATTTTGTTAAATTGTAATTCAATGTGTCGAAACTATGTGTCGAAAAGATTTGATTTATTTTAGATTTAAATAGATTTGATTTAAGTCTAGAATAAATTAGATTTGATTTAGTAACAAAAAGATATTTTGGGCTTTGAGCTTTGGGTGTAAGCTCAGTTATAAATAGAGTGAGTAACCCCTATTTTTGTAAGTAAGTTATTCACAGTATTTTGCAGTTGCAAAGTGAATAATAAAGTTTTCACAGTTTGTGAGCAGAGAGAAACTCTGCAGAAATTATTTGTCTTGTCTTCTTTTCTTTGTTTGTCTCATATTTAAATTGTCATTGTGGTAGAAATTCATCATAGACTTTTGGTGGATTTCCAATATCTGGTATCAAGAGCTTTGTTTCGATTCAAGGGAAGTGTCAATCAAGAACGATTGAAGAATTCACGATGACAAGTTATGGGAATGCAAATTATCCAGCAACCCTACCAATTCTGAAAGTTGACAACTATGAGAATCGGTGCAAACAGATGAAAGTCTTATTCAGGTGCAAGGTCTTTGGGACCTTGTAAAAGATGGAGTCGAAGCGCTTGGAGAAAACGCTTCAGAAGAAGAAAAGAAGAAATACATAGAATCTGAGAAGCTGAGTTATAAAATATTATTTATAATTCATCAATGTGTCAACCCAGACAATTTCGAAAAGGTTAGTGATTTAGAATCTGCAAAAGAAGCTTGGGAAATCCTTGAGAAGTCTTTTGGATGCGCTGAGAAAGTGAAAGAAGTGAGGTTACAAACTCACAAAAGGACCTATGAACTGCTTCAGATGAAAGACAGTGAAAGCATGTCTGATTTCTTCACTAGAGTTACAAAACTAGTAAATCAAATCAAGATATGTGGAGAAGCGTTAACAACAAGAGTTATTGTGTCGAAGATCTTGAGATCTTTAGCTCCTAAGTTCGACCACATAGTGGTGGCGATGGAAGAGGGGAAAGACTTGTCGAAATTGACAAAGGAAGAGCTTCAAGGGACGCTTGAATCTCATGAACAAAGAATGAACGAAAGAGCTGCAAAAAAATCAAAGAGTGATGTGGCCTTGCAGGTACATTCAGCAAAAGAGACCAAAGGCAAAGGAAAGTGTTTCGACAGAGGTAGAGGTGGCTACAACAAATCGAATGGTAGAGGGAACCAAATTGAAGGAAACGTGTCGAATCAAAGAAGACCATACCAAGGCAACCAAAGAGGTGGTGTTGCAAATAGAGGAAGAGGTGGTGGTCGAAAACCTGATAAGAGTCACATTCAATGTTACAATTGTCAGAAGTAAGGTCACTATTCGAGTGATTGTCCAGAAAAACGAAAGAATCAAGAAAGTGATGCAAATCTTACAAAACATGAAGAAGAAGAAGAAGAAGAAGAAGAAGAAGAAGAAGAAGAAGAAGAAGAAGAAGAAGAGATGATGCTGATGGTCACAACAAGAGATGAAGATAGATTCAAGGACCAATGGTACTTGGATTCAGGATGTTCATCACATATGTCTGGAAGGAAAGACTGGTTCGTCAATATAAAGTCCTCAATGAAAAATATGGTAAAATTTGCAAATGACAATACCCTAGCAGTTGAAGGTATTGGTGATGTTATGATTATGAGGAAAGATGGAAAAAGGTCAGTAATCTCCAATGTGTTGTACATACTAGGCATGAAGAGAAATTTGCTCAGTATAGGGCAGTTGGTCGAAAAGAATTATAAAGTGCCAATCGAAGATAAGATGATGAGAGTCATTGATGCAAATGGGAGATTAATCTTGAAGGCTCCTATGTCTCATAATCGAACCTTCAAGATTGAACTAAATGTGATAGAGCACAAGTGCCTTTCGACTGCAGCTAGCAGAGATGAATGGATATGGCATTATAGACTAGGCCATCTCAACTTCAGAGACATCAAAGATTTTAAGAGAAGACATATGGTTTCAGGATTGCCAGAAATTGACATTCCAAACGAGGTATGTGAGGAATGTGTGCAGGCGAAGCAACACAAGAATAGCTTCAGCAAGGATGCAGGAAGCAGACCGAAGGCTAGTCTTGAAGCCATATACTCTGATGTATATGGACCAATCCAGGTGGATTCGATGGGAGGTAATAAATACTTTGTTACATTCATAGATGATTTCAGTCGAAAGCTATGGACTTACTTGATCAAGAAGAAAAGTGAAGTGATTGAAGTATTTACCAAGTTTAAGTCTATGGTCGAAAGACAAAGTGGTCGAAAGCTCAAAGTTTTGAGAACTGATGGTGGTGGAGAATATGTGTCGAAAGAATTCGACAGATTATGTGAAAAGGAAGGGATTATGCATGAGGTGGTTCCACCCTATACTCCACAACAAAATGGAATTGCATAAAGGAAAAATCGAACCATCATGAATATGGTGAGAAGTATGTTGAAAGGCAAGAATTTACCTAAAGAGTTTTGGGGTGTAGTTGTTTCGACTGCAACATACATTTTGAACAGATGTCCTACAAAGAAGCTAGAAGGAATTACTCCAGAAGAATGTTGATCTGGTGTGAAGCCTAGCTTGAGTCATCTGAAGGTATTTGAATCTATTGCACATAGACATGTGCCAGATCAGTTGAGAAGAAAACTTGATGATAAGTCAAGTCAAATGATTCTAGTTAGATATCATTCGACAGGAGGCTACAAGTTGTTCGATCCAGTGAAAAAGCAGATTGTGATCAGCAGGGACGTGATCATAGATGAGTTTAAAGAATGGGATTGGACTGATAATGTCAAGAAAGATTCAGTGGGAATCCTTCTTGAAGAGCCAGAAACTCAAGTCGAAAGAGAAGTTCGACAAGAGGAACCAGCAGATATACCAAGTACAAGCAGGCCTCAAAGAACAAGACGCATGCCTTCAAAATTGCAAGATTATGTGATTACATCAGATGATGTAATAGATAATGAAGGTGAGTTGGTACATTATGCTTTCTATGCAGATGTCGAACCCGTTAATGCAGCTGAAGCATTGAAGGATTCGAAGTGGATGAAAGCAATGAACGAAGAAGTAAAGCCTATTGAAGACAACAACACTTGGTCACTTGTCGAATTGACTCAAGACAAGAAGGAAATTGATTTCAAGTGGGTATACAAAGTGAAAACGAATTCGAAAGGTGAAGTAACTTGACACAAAGCAATACTTGTGGCGAAAGGATTTCTACAGAAAGAAGGAATAGACTTCGATGAAGTTTTTGCACCTGTTGCTAGGATCGAAACAATCAGGTTGGTTGTTGGTCTAGCAGAAATAAACAGTTAGCACATATGTCAGATGAACGTGAAGTGTGCATTCCTAAATGGACCCTTAGATGAAGAAGTCTATGTTAAACAACCAGTTGGATTTGTGAAACATGACGAAGAAAGAAAGGTGTACAGGCTACATAAAGCCATGTATGAATTGAAACAAGCTCCAAGGGCTTGGAATAAGAAAATTGATAGTTTTCTAAGGGAGAAGGAATTTGTGAAGTGCACAACTGAACATGGAGTATTGTTTCCAGTGATTTCTGGTAAACAACCGCTAGTCTTCCAAACTATCGAATAATCTTTCTTACTGTTATTCAATCTCTCTGGTAACTCACAGGATCGACTAGATTGATCCTATGACTCCTTGGATATTAAGGTTACTCTCACAATCGAACAATTATTCATGGTTGATATTGTATAAGTGTTTGGCTTATTTCGATCCCTCTCTCTAAGAGTCTAAAAATGTAGTCAAACTGTATGTGAAAACTAAGTTATACGAATAAATGCTAATTGTAATGCTGATTGTAGAGACATACAAAACTGCATGAAAAATGAAGTAAATGGTTTCAATTTACAAAACGTTTAACATAAAAGGTTTCTGGAATGTAGAAGTTTAAAATGTGAAGAAAGCGTTTAATGCAAGAAAACTGTAAATGATTTTAAGTAAAAGTATGCGCTCGAAGGACAATACTTGAAAGTAAAGGTATTGAAAATGTGACATTTCTCTGAAATATAAAGTGCTTGAAATATAAAAGAAACAGTAAAACGTAAAACTTTGAGGAAAAGACTTCGAAGTGAAAAGATTGTAAATAGGAAAGCTTGCAAATGTTATTTGACAAAAAAGAAAAGAGGAAAGTACTGGAAATGGTAAAAGGTTTTCATTAAGTTAGAAATACATGGTGCTATCATACATACATTTCTCTTGCATTCGTTTCCCTTGCCATGTGGTAGTTTGAATGTTATTGAGTATTTTGTATAACAGATATGACACACCGAAATCCTAATACTAAGACTTCTATTTATACTAATTCGACCCTAACGGTCTCGCTACAGGATTATGCCACGTTTCGAACATGCAAGACAATGCTTCTTTCATCTTTCCACGTGTCCCCAAATGCTCCAGCACATAACTTTCAAACTATGAAAGTCCCGCTTCCATTTGAATTTTAAATGCTTTTGGTGTCTCTCTATTTCGAGCGTTCTTCCCAAACATAGCCTCGCTGTTGTTTCGAAACTCCTTTGGATATGTTCCCATAATTACCGTTCGAAGCTTCAAGCTTTGACACACTTATTCGAAACACTGCTTCTGTTACTTCAAAATATGGCGTTTAATTCCATTTCGATCAGAACGTTTATCTCTTTTGGCTTCTAAATAACATTATCAAAATCTTCAGCCAACAAATTGCCCCTTTAAAATATGTATTTCGATCTCTTTGAGAAATACCTATTTTAAACATTTATACAAGATTTTGATAGGATTTTCGAATCATCGTAACATTTAATGCATTTGACTCCAGTCACATCAATCATAGCACCTTTTGGGTTCCTTAACCGCCCAGAGTCACTTCACAGCGTGGTGCAGTTATAAGTAATGATTATTTTTAAATCACGCCTATTACCTATATCAACTTCACGCCACCTCTTCATCACACCAACCCATGATCTCCACGTATCACACCTTTACTCGGTGGATGCTTAATCTTCTCATTATAAAACATCAATTTAATCTTCCTTTTCCTTTTTTACACTCTAAACCTTTCATACTCTGGATTTTTACCCTTCTTCTCTCCTAAAACAATCTAAGCTTTCAAACAACAAAAATGTCTTCTTCCACCTCATCCCAACTCAAGAAAGTCTCCAAGAAGAAAGGAAAAACTACAGGAGCAACCATGGAGAGTAAAATCATCACCATTCAAGGCCAATCTGCTCTTGCTCCTCAAATGATTTCCAAAGAAAAAGAAATGATGTACGCATCACAGGTACTCATCCCTACCCATGTTGCTGGTAAGAGGTTAGCCTTAAATGGCCCTCTTACAGTTTTTGAAATATTAAAGGACACCAGGACAATTTTTCCCGTCTGTTATAGCTTCAAACCCTTATTCAACAAAATGGATGCCCCTAGGGCAGTAGAATCTCTTAGTTCGAATATCGTAGAAACCCCAACTGTTCCTCCCAGGGACCCATTTGTTTTGGATTATGTAAAAAGAAACTTTAAACCATTTCGATCTTGCCCTACTTCTGATATTGCTTATCAAAATTGGTTCACGAAAGTAGAGGCCAAGAAATCCCAGCAATGGGAAGAATTAGGCATTTATATCCTCATTAAGCTATCGAAACCTGGATTCACCTATAGCCATCCTCTGCTGTTTGCGTCCCTTTATTTCTGGGATAGTACCTACAACACTTTCCATCTCCCAGGTGGAATGATTACCCCCACCTTCTTCGATATAGCGGCCATTACTGGGCTGTCGCCAGTGGGAGAAACTTATGTTCCTGACAACGAAGAGCACTCAAGCATAATTGACTTCGAAGTCAAATTAGCCAGCTTTTCCAAATTTATTAGCCACTATCATGCTGAAGGGGACAATGTGTCTGACATAGAGCACATTGCTTTCTTAACCCTGTGGCTGTCTAGATACGTTTTCTGCAGTAGATCCCTGCAGGTAGCTAGTAGGTTCATTCCTCTAGCTAGGGATTTACATGAAAATCGCAAAGTGTGCCTAAGTGAATTACTCTTAGTTGACCTCTATGAGAGCCTGAGGTCAGCTGTTTCGAGCCTCAAATCCCACACCTCCAAAAACATTCTATTAGTTGGCCCATTTTGGTTACTCCAACTATGGCTAAATGCCATGTTCGAACCTTCTTTATCAACCGCCAACACCATAGATGAGCAAGATTCTGAAATAAGTGATAGGATAGTCGAAGGCACTAGGCTTCGAAGACTAACTCCTAATGATGACAAGGATGACTTCAAGGTTCAATTCTCGAAGTACATCATGATACTCTCCAAAAGGCACAAGTTCGAAGAGAGCATGGCGCCTTTTGCTTCGAGGGCTCATGGACCTTCTTGGTTCACCATGGCTCTCTCAGAAGCCATCAAGAGCAAGGAGATTCAGGATGTATGGAGAGCTTTCTTGCTGCTTAGACTCATCTCTTCAAGGATAACCCCAGCCAAGAACCAAATTCTTCTTTTTGCCTACCAACCAAACTTCGTTTCGAGGCAGTTTGGCTTATGCCAACTGATTCCTGAACCTTTGTTCCAAACTGAGAGCGCCATCACTTCTGGTCGAACTTTCAAGGCAAGGGAAGCCAAGATCCAGCAAGAACAATATCAAGGCTTTGCCCAATTCGAGCTGATAGCCTTCGAACCTACCCATCTCGCGGCTAAAGGATTTCTGGAGTGGTGGATT